GCGCCGCCTACCCCGCGGGTTCCTCTCGAGCTCCCGGGGTGCGCGGGTGGCACGCGCCGGGAGGGGCGGGGCGCACCGGAAAGGCGGGGGCGCGTGCGGGGCGGCCGGCGGGAGAGGCGGCACATCAGCGCGCCTGCGCCGGGACACCGGCCGCCTACCCCGCGGGTTCCTCTCGAGCTCCCGGGGTGCGCGGGTGGCACGCGCCGGGAGGGGCGGGGCGCACCGGAAAGAGGCGGGGCCGGGCTGCGCGCTCCCTGCTGCGGCGCAGTGCGGAGGGAGGGTCGCAATGGTGATTCTCCCCAAACCAAGACCCGACTTCAGGTCCTCAGCAGATCTGAAGTCTGGCTTTTCCAACCTTGGAGACCTGCCCCTGGGAGTGATAGGTCACTCAGGGCCTGGTTCTGAGAACATCATCATCTGCGGTCCACAGCCCTCGCCAAAGCTGGGGTGGCCCTCATCCATCAAGACCCCCTTCCTACTTCACCGTCCCCTGGGTTTTGTATTTATTTTTGTGAGAGGTCTCACAATGTAGCCCTGACTGGTCTGGAACTCTCTATGTAGACCAGGCTGGTCTTGATCTTACAGAGATCCACGTGCCTCTGCCTCCCAAATGCTGAGATTAAAGGTATGCGCCACAACGCCTGCCCGCCCCCGGGGGGTGGGGTGGAATTTTTTTAATCACCTTGGTGATCCTGGATCTGAATTCCTTAAATCTTCAAGTAATTTACTGCTCTGGCCAAGCTCATTGATTCAATGCATAGTCTGCTTCGCTTGGCTCAGCTGGCTGTTGTAATCGATTTCGTGCCCAAGTCGTCCATAGTCCCCACAGCTGCCACATCGCCAGGGTGGTGAGCCCGCGCTGTCAGGATGCTACAGGGACTATTGCAAGTGAGGAGCGATGGGGAGTGTGTCAGCAGTTCATAGGCACTGAAGAATACATGGGAGTTGAAGGATTGCCCTCCAATCCAGGGATGCATTACAGGCTTACAAATCCAGCAAACCCAGGACCCAGATCTTCTGAGACCAGCAGCCTCAGTCAGCCTCAGTAGCTCTGCTGTGAAAACACCTCATCAGTGATGGTTAAGGAGTAGAAACCGTTCCTTGAGAATAACACTTTTATAGAGTTGCCCTGTTGTTTTCGAAAACCCAGGTCTAAATCTTTGCTCTAAATTTTACAGGTCAGTGGGTTGAGGTTGCGTCCTATGTAAATACACGTTGTAGAGATGGAATAGCTCCTTTACTGAGCAAAGATGGGAAATAGACTCCTGTAAAATATGGGATTAGCTAGCGTCTATAAAGACCCGGTTTCCTCCGTTGAAGGGATTTTAAACTGCTAAAATGAAAGTTTGTTTTGTGTGCATTTTATTTATGGTTCATTTCTAATTTTATTTTCTAGGCCCTGGGAAATTCACCCAGTACACAATTCGGCAGGTCACAAATCTCCCAACCATGTCTCCATGGGTGCAACCAGTTTATACTCTCATAGAGAACATCTGCACAGTACACAATTGTGATAGTTAATCTCAACTATTTAAAGAGATCTAGAATCACCTGGGAGATGGGCCACTGGGCATGCCAGTGTGGGATTATCTGGATTAGGTTAACTGAAGTGGGAATACTGGACCACAGTGGGTGTTAGCATTTCCTGGCTAGGATCTTGGATTGTACAAAGTGAAAGAGAGCTGAGCACAAGCTTCAGGAATGACGTCAGTTTTCCGTTTCCCAGAGTGCACACTACATCACTACATCACCCAACAAAACTCCTATGTCCTGTTTTAATGAATCCAGCCCCTCAGCACTGTAAAGTCTGGAGTATTCTTTTATATAATTACAGTGTGTGTGTGTGTGTGTGTGTACGTACACATTCCAAACCACTTAGACAGAGACCAGGGGACAATTTTTGGAAATTGGTTCTATCTTCTACTTTGTGGGTCCTGGATCTCAAACTTTTGTTAGGGTTGGTAGCAGGCACCTTAACCTGCTGAACCATCTTGAAGGACCCAAGACTGGGGTGTTCTTCCTCTGTGATTAAGCAAGGATGATGAGATGGACAGTGTCAGGAGTAAATCTGCCAAATGTTTACCTTAACCCTGTCCCCTGGCTGGCCAACAGTGAGCCACATGCGAACACCCACGTTCCCTCTTGTGAACTCCTTGCTAGTTTCCCGACCTCTACCTATACTTACTCCCATATAAATACACACATAGATATGTTGTGTGAAATTTGCAAAAATTTAATTAAAAAACAAAAGGATGGGGTCGCACATTGGGAGACACCAGGGGTGCATTTCAATGAGAAGAACCAGCTGTGGAGTCCTGGCTAAGAAGCCATCTTTAAGGCTCCATGGACAGGTGTCTGAAGAAAATGTATCCACTGCCAGTTTAATGTCTGGCTTCTCAACTTCAAAATTTTGTGAAAATTAATTTCTTTTTAACAACCCCCCACAAAAAAAATGCAGGCTAGGATCCACACATAAGAAAGAACACACAACATTTGCCTCACTTAATATGTTTTCCAATTAAACCCATTTTCCTGAAAATTTCATAATTCCATTTTATCTTTCCTGCTGAATAAAACTGCATGGATAAAGGTGCCCTGTTTCCATTCTCCATTCATCGGTTGATGGACATCCACACTGCTTCCATTCTCTTGCTACTGTGAATAGAGAATCACTAAGAATGGATGCGCAAGCTTCTCTGGGGGTAGAATACAGAATCCTTTGGGTGTATGCTCAGGCATGGTAGCACTGTTCACTTTCATCCAGACCTAGCTAAGATCTCAGCTTCTGCATCTGGATCCCAGACCCACATGGTAAATCTATGAACGTAGAATACCTAAGGGTTCCTTTCCACATAAGCTCAAAGGGCTGAGCCTAAGCTTCAGGCTGGCTTGATACATAACTCTGTCTCATGTAGACCCTCAGAAATCTGAGCCCTAACAGCAACATCCTGAAAGACAGACAGAAAAATGCAGAATAGTTAAAGACTTTGAACAAGGTCTCATGTAAGAGAGAAAGAAATTATCAGTGGAAACCCAGACATGAAGGAGAAAGAGCTCTGTTCCCCTCATAGTCCTTTGGGTCAGCAAGAGGCCTGCTTTGATTTCTTACCAGAGATAATACTGATTTTTTAATGTGATAGATGAAGGGTTTGGCATCTTGAAGATGATTTTGGTGACCAGGAGCATGGCAAAAAAATGCCCCCAAATGTGACCTCACTCACCCCATTCTGATCAGTCATCCAGCAAAATGTTGCCTAACTCCAGTAAATTCACCCCTTTTTTTTTTTTGCCTCTCATGACTCAGGCATAGAAGTTGTTTTTCCATTTTCTTCGTGATCTTGACTGTATGGGTTTTAATGGATTCTTCCTCTGCAGAAAAGAGCTGTTTGGCATTTGAGCACACAAGGAACTATATACCCTGTCTTCTTTTAAAATGGAACTCAGACAGTCCATTTCTTAGTCAGAAGATTGATGAGTTTATACTGGCTAGAAAGGGATGTGTCTCAGGAGGATTCTGGGTGGAATTTAAAGAGTGTTCATCACAAGACTAGGGTGCAGGTCTTAGCTCACCACTTCCTGTGTGTGTGCAACCCAGGGCTGGCTACTTAGCCTACCTGAATCCTCAGTTCCCTAAGTGTACAATATTGTCTGATCTCCACTGACCTCTAAGATTTTAATTAATTGATATAATGGATATGAAATTATTTTGTGTATAATAAGATTTGACATATGTTAAGAATTGTCTTTGTAACTTGGAGAAAGTGAATTTATAAAGAACATTTCTATACAATTTATGGTATTTTTTGGCACAAAAGTGGCAAATTAAAACTTTTGCCCACTTTCTCTTTATAAACCAAGAGCACATCTATGCCTCTTCCATCCCACTTAGAAGTTGTTACATGATATTAATTATTTGGGTATATCTCCAATTCTCCTACTTATATTGAAAGAGTCTTGAAGTCAGGGTGTTGGATAGGTGCATCCTCTCAAGGACCAGCAATAGTTGGATTGTCTGAACCCTAAAAGACTCTGTAGAAAGGGAGGGAGACAGTCACCCCTCCCATCCCACCCAATCGGTCAGTTTCAGTTGCACAACGGGGAGGGTCCAAGGATAGACACGGAAGAAGCCAGGGACAAGGCAAGTGCTTCGCCATCTTGGGCCAGGCAGCAGATCTGGAAAGCTCAGCCAAGATGCAGGAAAAAAAGCCCATGGGTGTCCATGCCTTTGGAAGTAACCCCTCCTCATCATCATAAACTGTGTTGGCAAGCCCAAATAAATGTCTTTATTCCCTCAACTGTATTTTGGAGGAATATTTGTCTTTGGGTTGTAAGGGAGCCACCCGTGTGCCTCCCAGCAGTAAATTCAACTTACACAGGGCTATGGCACTTGGAACATTATCCTGACAAGTTATACCTATTCAATAAATATTTGTTGACTGTTAGTGAGAAGAAAAAATGAATAAACTGGACCTTTTGATAGTTTAAAATGTCTATTGTGTGAAAGACACTGCAAGAGGATGAAAGAAAAAAATGACATGCTAGAAGAAAA